GGGGGGGGGGGGGGGGCGAGGGTGATTTACTGCTGGCAGGGAATTGTTTTTTCTGGGATCGTTATGTGCAAGTTGTTTTTTTCCGTCCCAACACCATGTACGATTTTTCTTTTGCCACTCTCTCTTTCGCAGCATCTTTTTTCAATGCTTATACTATTTAGATTCTTTAATTATATAGTTAACGTTGAATTTTTAGCTTCATGCATTGCTTGGCCTCTTTTAAGGCAGGGCCGTAGGAAGCTCTTTTCGATTGGGGGGAGGGGCGGAAAGCGAGGCAGAAGGCTCGCGGAAATTTTTAAATTTAGAGTCTCTGAAATGCCATTTCCTGGTCTTTGGCGGAAGATTTGACAGAATTGTGATGGTCAGAAAACAGCGTTTTAGTATGTTGAAATTTACAATTTAGTAGTACTAAATGGGCGAAGGGTTAGGGGGGCTGCAGGATGTGTATCTGGAGATGACATATTTAGCGGGGGACCTGGAGAAGTTCCAGTCGGCAAGTCTGTGTCGCTCATAGAAATATGGTGTCGCTGCAGCTACCTGCAGCATATATATGCATGGTTTAACCAACATATAAGTTTGCGCCATAGGGCAGCAAATCAGGCCATACCTAGGATTCTGAGACAACCGAGTCGACCACCAAAGATGGGAGCCTCTAGAGGGGTTTGGGGGCATGCCCCCACGCAGAAAATTTTGGATTTCTTGAAGCTCAGATAAGCATTGGTAAAGCAGATAATATTGGTAACGTTTCTGAGAGGAATTCATATTTAAATAGGAGCTAAATTGTTTAAAAAAAACAGTTTTCAATTTCAATTCATGTGAAAAACGCACGACGTTCGAAGTGCAGTTCTGGTAAAAAAGGCAACCTGCTGCCCCCGTGCTGCCCCCGCACTCTTTAGGCAACGGGGGCAGCTGCCCCCGCTGCCCCCGTGGCTCCGGCGCCCCTGTATGTAATCGGTAAAACCGGTATACTCGTCTCGAAATTAGCTAAGCAAATTTATGCAAGTATAATTTTGAAACGAACCAATGAAAAACTGCCGATCATATTTCGTCGGTAGCTGTACGGCATTAGCGTCGAATGACAGCAGACTGTAATCCCGCGCGGGAGCGGGATGCAGTCTGCGAGCAGACTAGGGATAATCCAACTCAGGACGTGATTTGATTGGTCAATGCGAATACAATGAAAGTACCGGAAGTTATTCATTAACCGGGTGATATTTTGGCAACATAGCTGTTCTCACAAGGAGTGTATACAAAAGTTAAATGCTGGTTTTTGCATGAAAATACTTTTTTAAATCAAATTCTGGGCTATTTTGAAAAGAGCAAAAGAAGAAATGGACTATTTGTATTTGTAAATAAGCAAGAATGGCGAACAAAGTAAAAAAATTAACATAATAAAGCGAAACATTTCTCGTTCGAAAATTGAAATTTCAAGTATATTATAAAATCTACAACTTCAACCACGATATTCAATGTAAATATTACATAATAAAGTTTTTAATCCCTTTTTTACCTTTATTTGATAAATTGTGTGTTCGATATTATTGCATTTTGTATTGGAATAGGATAAATTATTAATTATACACAAATATTTAAATTTACAAATTATTCCCAATTTGAGGATGCTGGGTGCACTGGGTCAGAGTTTGTATTAGTGCCTATTTATTATTGAGTTATTAGTGCCTCTAAATCTCTAATGTACAAACATTGTAATCTGTTACTTAATACCATAAAGAAACTGTTGATAGCACATATATATATTAAATGACTATTAATCAAAATGAACTAAATTTTCGACCATTATATAGCATATTTCCCCCAATATTGAGGGAATAATTTCTCCTATTTATTTTTATAATAAGCCAATATTGCCCAACTATGAAGTAAATATTGCCCGACTGGCCTAGTCTGACCAACAATTGGGCCCCACCCTGTCCGCCTATGGCCAGGCCTACAGGTGGACCCCCAACCTGATTGGGCGCAAGTTTTCTTTCTCCAAAATTTCCCCTCCCCATGTACAAGGATTGACAATTTGATTAGATTTGAAAACTAGGGATCCAAGGATAGTGTGAAGTTTCAAATTGAAAAAGGCACTGCAAGAACTATATAGGGTTGCCGACAACCTAGAAAGGCTGATGGCTTACACTACGAAATATACAGTTACCAAAGGCATTTCATCTCATTATCTATTTTATAATGCGTTCGGCACACGAGTAGCGCCACGTTTGAAACAAGCCTAACAGATCAGAAACATGCCTCGTGGAACTGATACAATTTATTTATTTATTTATTGTGATGCTACACGCGACAACTCGAAATTTAAATTGTTTCACCAACACCCAAATTTTGCATATTCTAAAACATTGCATTTGCAGCTGTCGCTAAAAGCATCCTAACGAGGCTACTGATACGCTGAACTTATCAAAATTTCAAAAATATATATATTTAACCATTTTAAATTTTAAAAATTAATTTGCTAACCTGTAAACAATTTGTGGGAGTATATTCATTGTGTTTTTAATCCTGTAAAGACTATAAAAAGCGAACAAATTGTCATTTTCTCGTTCGGAAACGTCGGAAATTCAGTTTGAGCCGCATTTTGTTTTTCTCTACTAGCAGCATATGAGCTATTTATCACTTATTTACTGAGACTGAGGGAAACAGTGTGTTTTGTGGACCCGAGACCGTCGATGTTTCCCGAGGCGAAGCCGAGGGAAACATCGACGGTCGAGGGTCCACAAAACACACTGCTTTCCCGAGGTCTCAGTCAATAAGTGTTTTATTATATATCAATAGTCAAAGAAACAACAAATTAAAGAACAAATGAACGTAAATACATGAAATATTTTATTGTTAAAACGTTATGCAGTTAAAGCGAAAGTTTTAATTTACGTACTAGGCATGTTCAAAGGTCGCATCTTCACGCGATGGCGCACGTGATTTTTTTTGTTATTCGTCGGTCAATAACGTATTATCTCCCTCTCGCGCTGTTGCGAGGGAGACAGCCTAATTTCGTCACTCTCACGTGATATGCTCTCAACCAATAAAACACTAGAAAAATGCGACTTTGACTATTGATATATAATAATATAATATAGTCATTCACCGTATATGAGCTGTTCTTCAATCTGATTGGTTGAATTACTCGCCGTATATCAGCTCATATACGGCGAGTGACGAAAAACAAGATGGCGGTCCAAAAACTACATGAGTTTTGCGAAGCAGAAGAAAGAAAAATATTCGCTTCGAGAAAGACATAGTACAAGGAAAAACTCTCAAAAAAATTTTGATAGGTTAGCAAAATACATTTATTACATAGAAATTAGTTTAAATACAAATTTTTTAAAGAATTAATACCGAAACAACAGCGAAAAAGACATGTTCATTGAGAATATAAATTGTTTAGAAAAGTTTGCAACGAAAGACAAACGAATTTCCAGTCAACAAGCACTTATTATATTAATATACCAAACATCTGTATAACACAGGGTGTATAAAAAAAAGCGCAATCCTCGACTGAAATGTAAATTACTAAACAAATAATACACGAAAACGTTAGAGTTTACATTCATTTTAAAGCGTAGCCATTCAGCTTTCTAACAGTGGGTTGTTTCTTAAATTTGACTCATTGGTTCGCGGGTA